GCTGATGCTATAACCAGAGCTGTCTTGACACTCTCTGTTCTTACTGTGGGGGAGTATGTATCTGTGTAATCCTCGGGATATTTCTGTGCATAACCTTGTGCAACTAATCTAGCTTTGTATAGAGTATTGCCTCCCTCTAAATTTTTAATTTTATATATCCACCTAGTGCCAATGATGGTTTTGTCCTTTGGTGCAATTGTAGGTGTGAATACATTTAGCCCTCGTAAACTATCCATCTCTTTACTCATGGCTGATTCCCATTTTTTCTTTTCTTCAGGAGGAAGTTTTAACACTTCCTCATATGTGTTAGGTGTTGGTGATTCTCCATCCATATGCATTACATAATCTTTGTATTTGTTTGGCACTTGGTTTCTGCTACTTCTGATTGCTCTTTCTGGTTTAGTATCATTGTCATGCATATACCTCGCTTCCTTTTTAGTTAATGAATCTGTTCTTATTTTGAGTTGACTATTTGTCCATGTTTTGACTTTATTTTTATGCGCGTTGTTACTATGTTCTTCTCTATCCCCTTTTTCTTGGAGTTTAGTGCCTGGATTGGTGTTTGGGAATATTTCATTAAGATGTATTCTAGACCAGTTGGCCTGTTCATGGAACACAGCTGTTCTGGAAACTATAAATTTGTTATTACTATCGATAAATCTGTATCCTTTTGTACCTGTCTCGTATCCCATAAATCTAAGTCTTCTGGATACGTTCTCACCTTTGCGCCTCAATTGTTTAGGTATGTGTACATCTGCAGTGACTCCAAATATGTGCATGTGTGCTAGTTTTGGTTTTCTGTTATACATCGCTTCATACGGTGTCTTATTTACAATACTGGACCAAGTTCTGTTTTGTGTGTAATTAGAATATTGTAGGGCTTCTGACCAGAATTGTTTACCTAAGCCAGCATCCTCTAATGTGCATCTAATCATGGTTTGTAATGTTGAGTTTTTTTCTCTCTACCACTCCGTTCTGGAATGCAGAAAATGGGCTAGATGTGTAATGTAACATTCCTTTGTCTTTTAGCCATTGGGAGAATTCCTTAGACATGAATTCACATCCCCTATCTGTCATGATTTGTTTTATTTTAATATTGTGTTGTGTTTCTATACGTTTGTAAAATTCCTTAAATTTCTGAAAGGTTTCATCTTTATGTTTTAATGTGTAAACAAATCCATAACGACTATAATCATCCACAATGGTTAGAAAGTAACGTTTTTTATAAGTAATTGATGGTGTTAATGGACCAACTAGATCCATGTGTACCAAATCAAAAATTTTGTTAGTTGATCTCGTTGACTTTCTAGGTCTGGGACTAGTTTTGAGTTTTGTAGATTTACATACTGAGCATTCCAAATAGTTTTCACAATTTTTTATTTTAACACCTTCTGCATGTTCAGTCATCTTTTGCACTACAGGAAAACTGGCATGTCCTAATTTCCTATGTAAGACATGAGCACACTCATCGTAAATTGGTTTACCTATTTTAGGTTTTTTTTCATTGTGTGTATCTTTGTGGTTATGAGTTACTTCATGTTCCTCATTGTCACTGTTACTATTGTCTCCATTATCTATTTCATTATCATCTTCCATATTTGAATCAATGTTGTTTAACCATTTCTCCTTTGTCATTAAATAAGGTAGGCCTCCTTTGATTATTACTGTGCCTATGTTTGTTCTGTTTTTCTCTAATGTTGCCTTTCCTTTTGAGAACACAATGTTAATGTCAGAATCTCTGCTTAGTTTTATTGCACTAAGTATGTTATGAGGTATCTCAGATATTAGTAATACCCCCTCTACTTTTCCTAGGCCTGGTAAGATTACATTCCCTCTACCTATTACTTGAACCTTTTCTTGATTAGCTACTTTGATTACAAATTTATCTTCTACAAAAGAAGATAATATATTTTTATTATTTGTAGTGTGATTGGTTGCTCCAGAATCAATAAGCCAATTGTTGTTCTCTGGTTGTTGTACGTTAATGTTGTCATGTTTGTCTAACCCATTCAGTGAACCAGACTTTCTATCCTTTGAATTGTCTCTGCCCCCTCTACGTTCTCTATAATTGGGTGGACTTCTATACTTGTGTCTATCAATGGAAGGTTGTCTGTTGTTGTACCTATTTCTATATTCTGACCTATGTCTTTCTCTTAGAATTTTAGGACAATCCCTCCTATTATGTTCTCTGGACCCACAATTGTGGCATCCAAATGGTTCATGGTATCTTTCTTGAAATGCTACCTTTTTATATTGTTTGTGTTCTATGTGGTTGTTATAACGACTCCTCCTTGAATTGTCTTCAGCTATTAACTTATTAGATAGACTTTCTATGGATAAGTATCCTAGATTGATTGTGTCTAAATGTGACATATAATTATCCCATGATGGGTCAAGTGAGTTGATGATAACACTTTTCATCGTTTGATCTGAAATCACTTCCCCCCTTAAGTGCAGTTCTGCTCTAATTTTGTTTAAAGATATTAAATGTTCACTTATGGTAACCCCTGGCTTTATCCTAGAAGAGAAGAAATCTTTAGACATTCTTGTGGTAGTGGCTACACTTTCACTGTGAAATAAATTAAACATGCATTGAATAATTTCTGAGACAGTCAGATTTTGCTTAATACTGTGATACATGGCAGGAGATACACTGGAAATTAATAAGAAGAATGCTCTATGGTGTAGGCAATCTAACTTTAGAGTCCAAGGTTTTTTGGGGGGGTTAGTAATAAAAAAGAGTAAATTTTCTTTCATAAAGACAACCTGGAGCTGCTGATACCATTCTTGCAAATTAATGCCATCTATCCTCAGCTTTGGGAAGTCATTGGGTAAATTCCCAACATTGTTGGGTCCATTACTTACAACCGGAGGTAGTCCGTGGTCTTGCAAATGGTGAAAGTTGCAAAACGGCGTGGGGATGCTAGCGACGAGTTTGCATGATTCTCTCCGCATCTCATGTCTTCCGAAGTTGTCTGCGTAGTCTTGCGCATGCGCGTTGCTCATTTCGTTCCTGGAGTCACTGTGAGAGGTTCTCGCTGCTGCAGCTCCCTTGCTTTGTTCTTCTTCCGATGAATCAGTCTCCGTCTCGATCTTTGGAGTCCTGGTGATAGCGGGCGCTCATTTTCTTTCGCTGAAGATGCTGGTCCTTGGATTAGTCTGCGGCGTGGGGCGGTATCTGCAGGGCTCTCTGGGCTCAGGCGTCGGTGCTCTCGCCGTCTGGATAGGAGCGGGTAGATTTTGAGGCGTTGGCTCGCTTGCTTGTTTTTTTGTTGATTTTTTGGTGATTTTCAGTTTTGGTCCAAATGCTGCAAAAAGCGTTTTCATTGCTGATTTTACTTGCATTTCTATTGAATCTTCTTCGTTTTCTGTGTCTGATTCTTCTGAGGTATATATTTTTTTCTCTTTCATTTTTGCATCGAATAAGGCTTTTCGCGCCAGATATTTTGAATCCTGCTTTCAGATTGGCTCTGCTTCGCTCATCTTAGGGGTCTGTTGAAACCAAGATGGCTGCCATTCAAAATTTTGCGCAGGACTGTTGGTTTTCTTCTTCGTTGAGTTTTCATCTGCAAGCATATTACTCACTATTTTTGAGTCTTTTGATTTTTCAGTAGCGATGTGCTTCTCTCTCGCTGCTCCGTTGTTTTTTAGTATATCTTGGAGGTTCGCGATGAGACTTTCATCGCTCTTTTGACTTTTTAAAAGTTTTAGTATCTCTGACCTGAATTCGTTGTTTTCTATTTTGTTTTCTTCTTGGTCATCATCTTCATTTATTATTTCTTCGTCGTCTGTGGTGTATTCTTCAGATTCTCTCGAAATTGCATTCGTGGACTCATCGATTATTTCTTGATCCGCTTCCATTTCTTTGCTGTATGCCCTGGTGTTGGGCCTATCTCTTTTAGACATGTTTAAGTTTTTATTGAGTCAATTTAACCATCCTCTGCTACCAGATTGTTACGATATTTTCAGGATCAGACTCAATAAATAGGTTGAGAATTATCAATTCAACTAAATCACTGTTTATTTACATAAGGCATTCTATATTCACTGAATATTCACAGATAGAAGCGCAGAATGGACGTATGCAGCTCCTTATATATACAATGGGTGGAGCTAGATATGGGAGTGGTGAAATATGAATACATTAAGAGGTGAAGAATAAGTTAACCCCTGATACCCTGTTCATGTACTATTTACATAATGGAGAATAAGGCATTTACTTGTGACATACTGTAGTCTAAAGCTAGCTAAAGATTCCATAGACTTAAAAATGGTAACATTTGCAAAATAAATCCAAACAAATTTATTCTAATTTATTGTGGAATGGAGACTAAATAATTCTACTTTGATACATTTAAAATATTTGTATTGAAATAATTTATAATAAAAACACTTTTCTGTTAAGATATTTAGGGGTAGTTTTTTTTGTAAAAAATCATGGTATTCATTAAATATGTGGCCTGATGTTACATTAATTCATTTTATTGCAACTTGAATTGTTTCTTGCCTTTTGTTCATGTTACTTAATTGAAATTCAGGCTGCTGCATTTAATTTTTAAAAAGCCTGTCATTTAAAAAAAAAATGAACGAACATTTCTTTTATATCTATTTTCAGTAAAAGCAGAAAAGATAAAATAAGAGTAAAATAAAGGGGAAAAACATGTAAAGAAATGATTTGCCCTTCACAAGTATATTAGTAGCTTATTATCATTTCTGAAAATTCAATAAATAATTGTATAAACAATTTTAATTTTCAGTTCCTTTAAAATACAACAAATGATCTCTTCTTCTGATACCTCATCTTTTATTTATATAAACAAACCCCTTAAAGCCTCATTGTTTAGTTCTGATGTCAACAAAAGTGTTGCCAGAGATAACAATTTTATAACAATAAAAATTTTAAGCTTGAACAAATAAATCAATATGTATATTCTTTCCTTTTACTTCTAAGAATCTTGATCTTTAGTTCTTTCAAGTAATCTCTAAGAAATTAATTTTTTTTTCAATGTCCCTTCTTACAAATTTTTTTCAAAGTTTTAACAAGCCTCCTTCCAAATTCAATATACTCTCTTGGTTTTTATATATTTTTAATTATTAAGCTGGTTTCTTTTGCATATCCAATGTAACATCTTTTTGCATGTCATTCTTTTAGCCTGCCATTTTAAAATCAACTTCAAGATCAGCCTTTATCATGTCAGGTAAAATTTGTTCCTCTTCCATTACATCTTTTAAATACAACAAATCTATAGAGGCACATACTTAAATTAACTTCTGGATTCAAAAACATACATTCAATATGTCCATTATTAAAATATTCTGCTTCATTTTGTATTTGTAAGTTGAATTTAAAGGTTCTTTTCCTTTAATTGCAATCTATAGTTCCTTCTAGTTCCCTCTCATATCCAATTTTTAAAGTTCTATTTTATTGTGTTTTTTAAAAATTCAAAATAAAAGCATTTTCCCCACAATAAATATTTTTATAATTAATTCCAAAATCATATTTCTAATTTACTTGGCTCAATCAAATAAAACTTTCTAAAATCAATGTTTTAGTCACCCTTTTGCTGTTTATTCAAAATAAATGTTTAAGTCCCTCAACATATATTTAAAACTTTTGCTAAGGATTAAAGGAAATTCACTGTTGTTGTAAAACCTGTCAATCCAAACATTTCTAATATCTAAAAGATGGTTATAAGCAATTTCTGAAAATCATTAGAAAAGGAAAAAAAAAAAAAAAAAAGCAAAGACAGTCTTTCAAGGGCACTACTGAAGTTTGAACAAGATAGCTATTTCCTTATTTCAGAACTCTAACCTATCAGAGACCTCTGTTTTGCAGTCTCTTCACGACAAGCAACTGTCTAGAACACTTTTGAGTGATACTAGTCCTCTCCTTGTCCAGAGAGGAATTACAAAGAGCTGGTCTACCTGCCTGCTCTTCATTCTGCTACAGTTGTCACATTTGGACAGAACTGTCTTTAATCATTCATTTAATAAATTAAATGAATGAATGAATGAATGAATGAATGAATAAGCAAGCAAGCAAGCAAACAAACAAACAAAATAATTTCCTCTTTCCTCTCTTCTTTTTTGGAATATATATCTGATGAAGAAAAAAATGAAATATTTTGAAACTTGACACTTATGACATATGTCGCCTTGATATCTATATCACAAAATCAATATTTTTTTGGACAAAGAGAAAAATCAGTCCGATAACAATATTCCTGACTGACAAAAAATATGTCGACTTATTTTTCACGGTTCATCTTTGATGTTTTTCTTCCTAGAAAATAGCAATTGAAAAGATTATTTTATAGCTGGTACTAAATAATAGAGTATTCTTTGGTGTTCAAAGATCTAAGGCTCCCTGTGGTACAAATGACATTTGTAGATTAAGTTAAGATGCTTTGAGAAAGAAGTCTAGTGGAAACATAAAATGATAGATTTGTGATACAGATTTAACCCTAAATTCACAGAGTGTTTTGTTTTACAGATTTAGCAGTTAAGAAATCACCACCCAAATGAGCATTTGTCAAGAATGAGATAACTCCATATCACACAATCATACATTGTGTATTTGAGAGAAAGATAAATTTATATAATTATAAAAAAAATGAAAAGGCAATATGTAGCAGTTTTGAAATGCACAAATTAGTGCATTGTGATTGACAGTTGTAAGAGCTTTTCACAATGACCAAGGTTGATCTTGCATATTGTTTCTTTTCAGAGAATTAATATAATGTTTCATCTACAGGAAAGTAAAATAAGGGAGATGTCTATATTTATTTTTAATCTGGTTGAGCAGGTTTCTTTTAAAAAAACCTGTTATATATAAATTGTATTTGAAAACTTTGTAAGACTTTCTGTGACATCCAGAATTAAAATATAGATTAATTCATTGAGGTTTAAATGCAGATTATGGTAAATTATTCAGTGACTGCTTGAAAGAGTTTATCTGATGCACCAGTCAGTAAACTAGATAATAATTGGTTGTTATTGTTCCCTTAAGCAAGAATGCCTTGTTAAAATAAAGACCAGGGACACCTATATGCTGTAATATCTCACAGCATTATCCATATAAAAAGGTAAAGGTGTCACCTGCCAAACGTGTTCAACTCTAGGAGGCAGTGCTCATCTTGGTTTCTTAGCTGAGGGATCCAAAGATTCTTCCATGGTCATGTAGCCAGCATGGCTATACACCAAGGCACACAGAACCCGGTTACCTTCCTAATGAAGTGGTACCTATTTATCTATTTGAATTTGCCTGCTTTCTAATGGCTCGGTTAGCAGAAGCTTGGGCAAGAACAGGAGCTCACCCATCATGTAGTACTTGAATCTTGAATTGCCAACCTTCTAGTTGACAAGCCCAGAGCCTTAACTGCTAGGCCACTGTGCCCTCTTATTACCCACATAGGGATATTTTATGTTTAGAACCCAAGGCTGTCTTTTCAGAATAAAGTAGTCATTCAATGCTTTGAACTTTTCCAAATGAAACATTCACCAAGTTTGATGATCTATGAATGCATCTATAATAAATTGTTGTTATCATATGTTGCCTGGAAGTCCAACTTGGATTAAGTTCACTGCATAGAGAAAGGGGAAATAACTTTCTTATCTTAGGCTAATTCTTTAGCCTGTATCATTAGCCTGAATATACTGTTAGTTACAAAGTGAAAAATATACAACTATTCATAGGGTTATGTTTTTTTCCCCCTGCATGTAGACATTGTCAACAGGTGTCACATCAGAATATAGAAAAGTTAATTTCTACTATTCCAATCAAAATGGATATAGACAAAAAAGTGTCAATTATAACTGGGAAGACAAAGTAACAATTGCTCAACTTTGTCATTAAAATTAGCTGAGCTTTACTTATGAAATGTCCTTAACTATTCATATTTTTTTAATCTACTTTTTTTTACATTCATATTATGAGGCTACATGCCAATAAGGAATAAAATATTTGCTGCCGTAGTTATTTTCCATCAAGTCCAATTAGAAAAATATAGCTAGGTTCCAAAATGTATTTTATATATATATAATATATATAAATGTTTCTTTGATTTTAGGTGTGGTTTCCGCATAGTGCCTTTCAGGAATAATTTGTTTAAAAATACCATAAGTTCCTAATACATTGGTATAGTTTAAAGTACACTTTCCACATATAGGCTTATCTTTCAACCTTGAAATAATCCTAAATAAACGTATAGGAAACATTGTTTTTAGCTTTGCTCCAAATAAAATCTGGATGATTCATGTCATACATTTGACTGTACCAATTATTCTGAGCATTGCAGGTGAGATGTTAACTGTGATATGTGCCTGGAATTCTTTTATTTTTTCTAATATTTTCCAACTTACCCAGGAAAACAGGAGTCATGTTCTGGCTTGTTATCTCATCTTACCAAAGATGATCCTGGATGGCACACAACAATAGATAAAAAAAATGAGAATATAAAAACAGCAAATGCAGTTCCAAATGCTATAATATTAAATAAATAAATAATAACCTAAAATAACAGAAATACAATCAATAGTTGAAAGAAATAAAAATGTCTGCATAAACAATGGGGTCATCTAAATAAGTGTCCAGTTCCATGGGAGCCGTAGTCACATAGCCAAGTCTTTTTTAAAAAGTCTAAATCAGACGTCTTCAAACCTGGCAGCTTTAAGACTTCAGCTATGTTGGCTGGAGAATTCTGGGACTTGAAGTCCACAAGTTTTAAAGCTGTCAAGTTTGAAGACCTCTGGTCTAAATGATATCTCTCTTCTCTTTCTATCTAGCAAATACAATTAAATTAAAAATTAAATTAAAAATATTATTGCTTTTAAAGCTTTGGTAAGTAAACAAATTCATAAGACTGTCACTTTGGTTGGAGTGATATTGTTTTATTTGCCACGCTGCTTTTGTAATATCAAATACACCAACAAAATGTTTTATATAGCAAGTGTAAGAACCTTTCTGGATGCTGGTTGTATTCAGCTATCAGTACTGTTTTTTCTCTCTGCTTCTAGTTTGATCCAAAGTGCTTTCTCCCCTTTTTACAAACAGAACTGAGCTACCTTTCAATTATGCTTTGAGTTTGCTATAATTCACAGCTACAAGTTCCTTAATCTATTTTGTTTGGTTCAAAGTCAAGTACAGTCAGCATTATAAATACAATTTTAAATTAGTAATTTCTGTGGAACGTTATTTCAGAAGACATCATGAAGGAATAATAAATACTTGCAAATCTGGCTGTTAGAAGCCAAGATTTCTTATCAGCAGCCTGTACAAATACTATTTAAGAAAAGGCAAAATACTGCTATCTCCCTTTAGGAAAATACTTTTGTGAGACGAATAATTGTCCCAATTACTAATAGATGATTTTTGAAAATAATGAAAATTATTTTTCCTTTTTTGCTAATTTTGTTAAGGTACATTCTAAACCAGCTGTCACCAACTGGTGGTCCTTGGACCACTGGTGGTCCGTGAAAATTTTGGTGGCCTGCAGAAAAATTATTTGCATTTTTTATATTGCACTAAATCAGGGGTCCTCAAACTATGCCCCCTGGGACAGATACATGTAATGAACGTTTGTGTTGTTGCAGAGAGTTTCCCCCTTTGAGGTCTTTTTGTGTGGGTCGGAGGGGGACCTTTGGACGAAGGCTGGAGGGAAGTGCTGCTAGTGACGAAGAGCTGGAGGGCCTTGTTCCAGGGGGATTGTAACATGGCCTGGAACTGGCTGACCATCTCAGCCCACTGAGCCACCTGGTGTCTATACCTGGTCTTGCATTCCCGCAGGTCTTCCCTCTGCTTGGAAAGCCTATGCTTGTAGTCCTCAGTGAGGTGCTTCTGCTAGCCTCCTTCTCGGATCCAATTTGAACGGAGCTGTTTTGCCAACTCCTTCTCGTGGTGGCTGCTTAGCTCCAACAACTGCTTCCTGTTGGGGCACTAAGGAGCCTGGACAGGGAGGCGAGGAGTAGTTGGGAGGGGAGGGGTGAGTAGAGGCTGCCAAGGCACCCCTCAATGTGAGTGACATTGAGTTGGCCACGCCCACCCAGTCACATGACCACCTGGCCATGGCCACCCAGCCAGTCATTAAGCAGATAATATTAGTGGTCCGCGGGATTTAAAATTATGAATTTAGTGGTCCCTGAGGTCCAAAAGGTTGGTGACCCCTGTTGTAAACCATTCAATCAAAGCTTGAATATCTTAAAAACTCAAAAACTGAAAATATATATACAAAAGAAAATGCATGCAAGTTATTTAGAATTAGTCCTATTAATGTGGTATCTTTGCATACTTTGCCATGTTTAGTTTTTGAATATTAAAGATACAATGGTGATTATTTTTAATTGTATGGTTCTATATCATCTACTAGAATTAGGCCTCTAAGCTCGCAAAATTTTGAGGAAATGTGTACAGGGCTGTAAAAGAGACTTGGAAGGACTTCCATTTTCAGCTACAGAATCATTTGATACACAATCTACTAAAGCATTTTCATTTTTTAAAATTTATTTGTCCTGTATTTATTATTTTTATAAGTCAAGGCAGCAAATATTTATTTACCTATCAAATCTAAGTATCACCCATCTCTCTTTCACAAAATACTCCTTCCTCTTTTCCCCCTAATAGCAACTCTATGAGGTGGATTGGGCTGAAAGAGAGTGGTTGTACCAAGGTCATCAGTTAAATTTCATGGCTAAGGTGGCACTAGAACTCACAGTCTCTGGTACCTTAACCAGTAGACCAAAATGATTTTGAACAGTTGCCTATCCACACTCTGTTTGAAGACTTCCAGTAAATGGAAATATCCCACTTCAGGAGGCAACCTATTCCACTATATTAAACCTTCACTTTGCTTCGATGTGCTCGTACACTGGGAAAATAAATATTATTTTCATGATATCTGATGGGAATATCAGATTTGTTAAAAATGTTAATAATAAAAGCTAACTCTGTGCTCTCTGTTCTCTCTCTCTGTCTCTCTCTCTCTGTCTCTGTCTCTCTCTCTCTCTCTCACACACAGAGAGATTGTGAACTCTATTTTCCTGGATGTCAATGACTACTTACTGATTGCTGGAAAGAAGAACAGGATACTTTCATTGAAGTGTGCTTTGAATGCAGACAAATCAGTAAATAACAGAATGACTCATAAATTTCAGCAGTGATTGAGATCTGTCAATCCAGCTACACTGTGGAACCTTATCAGATGTTCATATAAGAATATATTACCTTGGAGTCACCTGCCCCCATTTAAAATACAAATATACACAGCATTTCTTCTTGAAAAGCAGAGATCAATATGTATGCCTGCTTTCTAAATCATCTTTTGAAGTTCACATGGAAGCCCAGAATGTTATTGCTTCTTTGTCTCCTCTTCCCTCCTTAGTCATCAAAACCTTCCAGAGGTGTGGAGTTCATTTTTCATCTATTGTATATCAGCCTGATGAATGCCTAGGGGAAAAGAAAGGGTTGTTTAACTTTGGGATAACCTAGATTATTCAATCCATTCCATCAGCTGCTTTGTGCCTGTAGGAATGGGAAACTGTCACTTTCCCCCTAGTCACTCAGGAAAAGAGAGGTAATAAAGAAGTTATGTTTCTTTCTGGCTTTTTTTTCTTCAAACCCAGTTTTCAGGGATTCTTTTAAACATTTTTTTTCTCCAAACTTTAATTTTGTTATAACTACCTCTTTCTTCCACATCTGCTTGCTCCCCATCATGTATCTTCTCTAATCATTTGTATCCTGGTTTTAATAATGCTATGCCTCTCTCCCTTTTAATAGCCATGCCATCTCATTCCAGCAACAAAGGATAACCAATATTTCTTTTTTCCTGTTCTTTCAATACCACTCTATATTTTAGAAGTAGTTCTGTTTCAAAAGGTTTGTTAGTCAGTTGCAATTTATAACTTTAACTCACTGAAATCATGTGTGTTCATACTGGCCTGATACATTTCTTGAGAATAAGTCATTTTCATTTTAGGATAGGGCAATATTTGCAATGAATAAATGATAATGTATCTATAATTTTGGCTATATTCAATAAACCAAACCCCATTAGATGGAAACTGTATTAATCCACCATTTTTTCAGCAAAGTGTTGAAGATCTGGGCCAGATTCCTTAGTATTTTTAATTGCTATATTGTATTTCTTCTTTTTGTCTAAAATTTTTGAAAGAGTTAGACCTTTCCACAATTGACTATTCATTCATGATCGTGCTGATCCATTCCAGTCAGGATTCTGATCAAGTCATCAACTAAGGTGGCCTTTCCTGAATGTCAGTGTTATAAAAACTGTCTATAGCTCTTGATACTCTTGACCACCAGACAGATGAAGCTATAATCCCTAAGTATGACAGGCAATTTTTAAACCTTGGTTTTAGTTGTCTCTCTCTAGCCAATCAGCACAATCAGTTATTGTGCACCAAAATGTTCCCTTTCAGGGGGCTGTCACTCAGTATTCTATTTTTTCCCTTGTATACCATTCTGTTGGTTGCCTTATTTCATAATTAAGCTTTAAATACCATATTTACAACAAAGAAATTCAGCTTTGTAATTATAAAGGTTTACTTTGGCTCTGCAGCTCTGCACTTGGTGTGGCAGGGGCATTAGCGGCCATTCTGCCCACAGCATAGTGGCGGCATTAGAAGCAGCATGTCAGGCTTGGAGCTGCCGCCACACCAGGTTCTGAGCTTGATGTGGCGGTGGCAGCAAGGGGTGTGAAAATGGAAAGCCTCTGGCTGCTGCTGCCACCTCTCCGCCACCTGCCCCGACCCCAGCCTCTTCCACTTGGAGACCAATGTGGCAGTGCAGGGGGTGTGAAAATAGAAAGCCTCCAGCCCCCTAACACAATACTTTCTGTGTTCTGCCCACCTGCTCATTCACCCATATATCCAATTCTCCCTCAGTGTGCAGTTGTCCTGTGGCGACTTGGCAGTGTTGAGTTGGCAGAGGCAAATTAGCAATAGTGAGCTGGCCATGGCGAGCTGGCCGCGAGTTATCCTATATCCCAAGCAGATCAGTATGCAATCAAGATTTAAGGCAAAAAATATCTACTGACATAAATTAATATATAAAGTTTAGTGTTTCCAGAAATGAATTTTATTTGGAGGTCTGTAGCTTTCATGGCATAATTTAACTGATGCTGGTTTTAGGGCTACTCAGATATATGTAATCATTGGCATCTGTGCTTTAGCATCTCCTCACTTCCTGGTATTCAGTCCAAATACTCTGGCCTTTTATGGGCAATGAATCTGAATCAGACTCCTGGAGAAATGTTTCTGGGATAATATAAAACAGTTGTCTAGCAAGGGGATTCAGCAAAATTGCCTAAGTTTCCTTTTTTTCTTTGAAAGATCTTCTTTAGATTAACAAATCAAAGCCAATCACAAAGTTGTGCTAAGATATTTTCCCAACAAAGACATTCCATGGGGACATCTGTGATGATATCTGTTTAATAAATTCAGATGATTATGATTGATTGGATTCTAATTCAGCCAATCTCATGTCTCTAACATTTCATCTTTTACAATTATTCAGATATTGTCAGAAGACCCTGCTGATGGTTTTATCCTTCGCCTTCAGTGATTTTTTTTACTCTCTTCTGTTGCTTATGCTTTCTTTCTGTCCTTCCTCTATTTCTCTTCACCTTTTGTCTGTAATTTTTCTCTTTTCTCCTTCTTTCTTTTTCAGTCTTTTCTGTCTCAGTTTGCTTTCAGCTGAAAGTTTTATTCCTCTAATGTGTATTAGGACAGTTTGGCCCATAACTGTTCCAATAAAATGGATGGGCTATTATTAGCCCATTAAATGAGCCGCAGTGGCGCAGTGGTTAGAGTGAAGTACTGCAAGCTACTTCTGCTGATCACTGGTTACCAGCAGTTTGGCAGTTTGAATCTCACCAGGCTCAAGGTTGACTCAGTTTTCCATCCTTCCAAGGTCAGTAAAATGATGACCCAGATTGTTGGGGGCAACATGCTGACTCTGTAAACTGCTTAGAGAGGGCTGTGAAGCGGTATATAAGTCTAATGCTATTAAAAAATGTGGTTCCCATAGGTTAATTCTACCAGGATGCTAAATATGCTTAACCATGCTTATGTATTCTGTTAAAACTGAATTGTATATTCAGTTCAAAAGTTGAAACTATAATAAATAAAACAATTCAATGTATTTAATAATAGTCTAATAGTAAACAACAATTCTAGTAGTTGACAAATAATGGAGAATATTGCACAAATATCTGACGTAGAATAAAAAGGAATGAAATAAGAACCAACAGTCTATGAGTGAATTAATAGATGTGATTCAGAGTTAAAAGCAAAGAATTTCAAAACAACATATCTGATTAAAAAAAGATGAAGCATGAGTTCAGAAAGTGGCAAGTAAAATGGAAGCTTCAGGAAGCGATTCAATTTAGACAATGTTCATTGGAGTAGAAGGAAGAAAATGGTAATAGAGATAATAATGCCACAAACCCCGCTCCTTTCCAAAAAAGCAGACTGTTTGAAGCTTCCTGCCACAGCACAAAATGAGCTGTAACATTTCCATTCACACACACACCCACACACAAACACACACCAAAAGATAGGTGCTTTAGTGGGGGAGACATGCTGGTGTCTACAACTGGATAACGAAGTTCTAACCCTTTTGTCCATAGATTGTACGTGCAACATAAAAGTTTAGATTACTGAGGCCTCAACTGCTCACCTTTTTGACTTTTTAAACCTACCCACCCTTTTGAATATTATACTGGTTAAACTCAAGTCCAATCTGTGAAGAGGGGTTTGACTGTAGATGGCTCAAAGTAGTTTTGCTCTGTGATAAACAAAAGTCAGGCAATAAGGTGGAAACCTGAGCTGGCAATCCTCTGTGGCTCTTCTGAGTGACTTCAGCTACTAGTAAAAAAGACAGAGGAGAGAGAAGTAGATTTTTTCTTCTCCTTTTATAGGTGTAATACTTTTGCCCTGAGGCAAAAGTATTGCTAATCCAGGTGATCTTACCAAGAAAAAAGGAAGACTAAAGAAGTGGTGTCAAGACTAACAAAAGAAAACCCGAAAATCAAAAGTGAGAAACGTTAGGCCAGATGTCTGGGTTAGGTTAATGGATTTTTCTCCTATCAAGGACAAAAAGCAATGCCAAAAGCTGATTGGTTTGAAAAGACTTTCCAGGCACCTTTTGATTAAAAGAAAGAAAAAAAAAACTATGAAGTGACAGAGAACAGTCATTAAAAAGCATACTGTTGTATGCCTATTGCTCTGTTTAAAGAAAGGAATAACCCAAACACAGCTCACGGCTCTGGCAACATTCTCTTGTGCAAAGAATCATTTAAAACCACCTGCCATTGTTTTAGCCATAATAACATGGAAATGATGTTTGTCCATCGTGTTCGAGGAGGACCTTGAATCTAACAAGTTGTTGGCTGTCCACGATGTGTCTGCTGGTAAGGCCTATATGGGCACGAAATGTTCTGCCACATGTCGGGTAGATATGTGTGGGCATTATTGTTGCAGCATTTGCAGCTCTGCAGAGTGCTCACTTCTCTTGTGCTATGGTTGTTATTCTGTCCTCAGATGTTTGGCAGCCTTGATGGATCAGTGTGCACCATGTCGATCGATCTTGTACCAGGATTCCCCGGGAGGTGGTGTCGATATCCAGGGACTTGAAGGAGGCTTTCAACATGTCTTTGTATTGCTTCCTTTGTCCTCTGTGCAATTGCTTTCCTTGAGACAGTTCACCATAGAGGAGCTGTTTAGGGATGTGATGGTCTGGCATTCTTGCAACATCATGGACTGCCCAACATGTCTGGGTTTTCATCAGCAGGGTGTGAACTGATGGCAGGCTTGCTGAGAGGACCTCTGTGTCTGGCACCTTGTCCTGCCACCGGATCCTCAGAATTCTACAGAGGCAGGTCATGTGGAAGTGGTTAAATTGCCTAGCGTGCCTCCTGTAAACAGTCTCACTGGCATACATCAGGGTAGTTAGTATCAGGGGAGAAATGTAAAATTTGTTACTACCGGTTCTGTGGGCGTGGCTTGGTGGTGGTGGTGGTGGTAATGTGACTGGGTGGGCATGGCCAACTTCTTTTTTTTAACTTTTCAAAGCATTTTTTCTAAAGCTTTGAAAAGCCTCTGCTGGTCAGGCAACTCAGCTGGGATCGTCACAGACTTTTCAAAGCATTTTTTTTACCACCTCTTCGGCCAAGAGGTTGCAGAAAAAAATGCTTTGAAAAGCCTCTGATGATCCCAGCTGAGCTGTGCGATCATCAGAGGCTTTTTTTTTTTTTTACTTTTAAAAGCATTTTTTCGTTGGAAGAGGTTGTAGAAAAAATGCTTTTAAAAGTAAAAAAAAAAGCGTCTGATGATCGTGCAGCTCAGCTGGGAATGGTAGGGGAGGCGCAGGGATTTTTGCTACTGGTTCTCCGAACCACCCACCGCTATCACTACCGGATCTGGCGATCC